AGCAACCTCCAACTCCTGGGCTCAAGTGAGTCTCCTGCCTCTGCCTCCCAAGTAGCTGGGACCACAGGTGCCCGCCACAACGCCTGGCTATTTTTTGGTTACAGCCGTCATTGTTGTTTGATGGGCCCAGGCTGGATTCAAACCCACCACCTTAGGTGTCAAGGCAAAATACTATTGTTGTCAAGGCAAAATACTATTAGAGAAAGTAGGAGAGAAAGAAAGTAATCCATAATTTTATTGCCTCAACTTTGAATGTTTTCATTTTTTGTTCTTTCTCCCCATTTTTCTTTATTTCTCCCCATTTTTCATATGTACTCACTTGTATTCCTAGTATATGAATAGTTTCTCCTATAGTTTTCACCTTATTCATTTATTATTTGTTTATTTGATGAAGAGTCTCAGTTTGTTGCCCTCGGTAGAGTGCGGTGGCGTCACAGCTCACAGCAACCTTCAGCTCTTGGGCTTAGGCAGTTCTCTTGCCTCAGCCTCCCAAGTAGCTGGGACTACAGGTGCCCTCCACAATGCCTGGCTATTTTTTGTTGCAGTTTGACCAAGTCCGGGTTCGAACCTGCCACCCTCAGTATATGGGGCCATTGCCCTACGCAGTGATTCACAGGTACTGCCTGGCTATTTTTTTGGTTGTAATTGTCATTGTTTGACAGGCCCCATCTGGGTTCAGTTCCGCTATCTCTGGTGTATGTGGCTAGCGCCGTAGCCTCTGAGCTACAGGTGCCAAGCCTGAATGAACTATTTCATTCAGTTTTGTTTCTTATTAAATCATAGGGTATGTTATAATTTTTTCCATCCTAAATTTAAAGAAATCTTTCTTTTGTTAGAAGACTATTGAACTCTACAGCTTACTTCTGTTGCTTTATTTTGTAGATAAAATGACAGCTTTGAGTTTGGTCACTTTTTTCTTTGGAGACAGATCCTCAAGCTGTCACCCTAGGTAGAGTGCTGTGGCATCACAGCTCTCAGCAACCTCAAACTGCTGGGCTCAAGGAGTTCTCTTGCCTCAGCCTTCCAAGTAGCTGGGTCTGTAGGCACCCGCCGCAATGCCCAGCCATTTTTTTGTTTGTAGCTGTCGTTGTTTGGCAGGTCTGGGCTGGATTCGAAGGTGCCAGCTCTGGTGTATGTGGCTGGTGCCTTAGCTGCTTGAGCTGCAGTTGCCGAGCCTGGTCACTTTTTTCTAAACCTTTTTTTAGTGTTACATAATAGCTTATATATTGAAGAATATTGATACACAGGAATTAATTTGTTTAATAATACATTGAAACCTTTAACTTTTGTTTCCTTTTACTTTTCCAGGAAGGCAAAGGAGAATGAAAGAAGTAGATAATCTTGAAAGTATAAAAGAAGAATGGTAAGTTAATTCAAACTAGGAATTCTTTGTGAATGCCTTTGTTAGTATCTTTCTGTATTTCTTTTTATTATTTACTTATGTATTTATTATTATTATTATTTTTAGAGACAGAGTCTCACTTTGTTGCTCTTGGTAGAGTGCTGTGGCGTCACAGCTCACAACCTCCAGGTCTTGGGCTAAGGCAATTGCCTCAGCCTCTAGTGGCTGGGACTACAGGCACCTGCCACAATGCCTGGCTATTTTTTTGTTGCAGTTTGGCCAGGGCTGGGTTTGAACCCGCCACTCTCAGTGTATGGGGCCGGCACCCTACTCACTGAGCCACAGGCACTGCCTTATTTATTTTTTTTGAGACAGAGTCTCAAGGTGTTGCCCTGGGTAGAATGCTGTGGCATTACAGCTCACAGCCTCCCAAGTAGCTGGGACTACAGGCACCCGCTGCAATGCCTGGCTATTTTTTGTTGTTGTTCTCATTGTTGTTTGGCAGGCCTGGGCCGGGTTTAAACTGCCACCCTACATAGTTACCATTCAATAAAAAAAAAAAGAAAAAGAAAAAGAAAAAAAAAAACCTGCCACCCACAGTGTGTGTGGCCAGCACCCTAGCTGCTGAACTGCTGAACTACATGTGCTGAGCCTTTCTTTTCTTTTCTGTTTTTGAGACAGTCTCAAGCTGTCCCACTGGGTTGAATGCTATGTTGTCATCTTAGCTAACAGCAACTTCTAACTCTTGGGCTCAAGCAATCCTCTTGTCTCGGTTTTTTCTATTTTTTGTAGAGGCACTGTCTTGCTTTTGCCCAGGCTTGTCTAAAACAGGTGAGCTCAGACAGTTCAACCGCCTCCACCTCACAGAGTGGTAGGATTACAGGTGTGAGTCACCGTGCCCAGCTGGTAATATTACTTATATGATGAAATGTAAATAAGTGCTTGTAATCTCAGTGACTTTGGAGGCTGAGGCAGGAAGATAATTTGAGCCCAGGAATTCAATGCTGCAGTGATTTAGGATCGTGCCACTATCATAAATCTAGCCTGGGTAAAACTCAGTCTAAATAAATATGTATGTACGTATACATACATACAGACATTTCAGTATTGAACCACTATAAATAAAGTTTTCAGTGGGAAGTCTCATTCCGAAGTATGGACGGGAGCAAAAATATGGTGGTTCCTGATGCATTGTCATCTTCACTTTTGAGAGTGTTTTGTGTTACCACAAAGTACATAGTAACCCCTTTTAAAGCCATTTTGAGCCCTTTAAAAATAACATTTTTCCCTAGACCAATGATTCTCAACTTGAAGAGATTGTTGCCCCCACACACACACACACACATTTGGCAATGCACTGAGCAGTGGTTCTCAACCTTCCTAATGCTGCAACCCTTTAATACGATTCCTCATGTTGGGCAACCCCCAATCATAAAATTATTTTCGCTGCTACTTCATAACTGTAATTTTGCTACTGTTATGAATCATAATGTAAATATCTGATATGCTGGATGTATTTAGGTGACCCCTGTGAAAGGGTGGGGGATCACGACCCACAGGTTGAAAACCACTGGTGTAGAGGCATTTGGTTAACAACACTGGGGTGTGGGGATGAGAAGGTATGATGTGCGTGCTATTGGCATCTCACGAGTAAAGGCTGTCCTATGCAAATATACTGCACAGGATAGTTCACACAACAAAGTCTTACCCCCCCTTTACAAATGTCAATGGGACCGAGGTTGACTGCTCTAGAGTAAAAAAGGACAATGACTTCCCCAAGATCATACATTTATGATGTAAACTTAAAAGAGTCCTGAACTAGGCTGGATGCAGTGGCTAACACCGTGATGTGATTGTAATACTCTGGGAGGCTGAGGTGGATGGATTGCCTGAGCTCACAGGTTTGAGACCAGCCTGAGCAAGAACAGGACCTCATCTCTAAAAATAGCTGGGCATTGTGGTAGGCACCTATAGTCCCAGCTACATGGGAGGCTGAGGCAAGAGGAACGCTTGAACCCAAGAGTTTTGAGGTTGCTGTGAGCTGTGACCACACAGCAGTCTACAGGGGGCTGCATAGTGAGACTCTGTCTCAAAACAGAGTCCCAAACTGCAGACATGGAGGTAGTAGCTCAGTTCAGCTTCCCTTAACTAGAACAGCTTAATGTAAATTTTTGGAGAACTGATAATCACTATTGCTTTTTCTTTGTTTGTTTAGGGATTGTGAAACAGGATCTGACCATCAACCTCTTAGTGATAATCAACAAACAAATTGTGAATATTTTGTTGATAGCCTTTTTGAGGAAGCTCAGAAGGTTGGTACCAAATGCTTGTCCCCTACAGGACAGAAGAAACAGGTAAATATCTGTCCATTACTTTTTTCCTCTTCCTGAATTTCTCAAAATATAGAACTTTTCTTTTCTTTTTTTTTTTTTTAAGCAGTTTTTTGGCCAGGGCTGGATTTGAACCCACCACCTCCGGCATATGGGGCCACAGGCGCCACTCCAAAATATAGAACTTTTTGAGGGTCCCTAAGGTCAAAACTATTTTCATAATAGTAAGATATTATCTACCTTTTCCGTGTATTCACTTTGCACCAATATTGCAAAAGCATTGGTGGTTAAAACTGACAACACCATAGCAGAAGTCAAGGCAGTGGCAATAAAACTGTACATCTGGAGCATCCCAAATCCTAAAATCTGAAATGCTCCAGAATTTGAAATGACTTTGTGAATACTGATGTGGTAGTACTCAAAGGAAACATTCATTGGAGCATTTCTCTTTTTTTTTGAGACCCTTAGCTCCTTAAAAAAAAAAAAAGAAAGAAAAACCCAATCAGGTGCCAGGTGAATGCCTATAAATCTAGCAGCTTCCAGAGGTTGAGGTTGCAGTGAGCTACGACACCACTATACTCTGCTCAGGGCATAGGGTGGGACTCTGTCTAAACAACAACAAAAACAAAATTTTTTTTCTTTTTTTTTTTAGACACAGAGTCTCACCTTATCATCCTCAGTAGAGTGTTGTGGCGTCACAGCTGAACGCAACCTCCAGCTCTTGGGCTTAGGCGATTCTCTTGCCTCAGCCTCCTGAGTAGCTGGGACTATAGGC